GAGAGAGAGAGAGAGAGAGAGAGAGAGAGAGAGAGAGAGAGAGAGAGAGAGAGAGAGAGAGAGAGAGAGAGAGGATAGCTTGCACGCCTGCTCTCTCATATGTATGAAATGAGAGAGAGCGATAACCGGGAAGAACGAGGGCGGATATTTGGTCAATTGCCCGTCTGTGCGTATGGGTGAATGATGATGGCAAGTGTAATCTAGCATCGTCATCCACCCATACGCTATTAGCGTGAACCTGTGTGACATTCTGACCGCGCAAATTTGGCAAGAGCTGGTTTGAATCACGAACAGGTGCGTGGTAACTTAGCAGTAAACAGTAAAATTTCTGAGGCCAAGGTCCCTTTGGTGCTATATATATGTTTTAAGTTGGCATGAGCCTGGCAGACACACCGCCAACCCGTACCTGGACCCGTTGTCTAAACCGAATGTGGGTTTATCTGAAGCGGTTTAGGGTTTTAGGGGGCCTCGTTTGGGGTTTAAGATACGTTTAAGAATGCTATGTTGATCTTCGATCTTGATCCATTGTATAACAATCCTCATTCGTGGCCTTTTCCTTCTCTGCCTGCCTCTTCAACCATCTCTTTCTCTCTCTCTCTCTCATTCTTTCTCACTCTCTATCGCTCTCTCTTTCTCTCTCTCCTCTCTGTTAGTCTCTCTCTATCTATATCACCTCCTATCTCTCTGGCAGTGCATCCTCTGGTTGTCTGGGGTCTTCCATCCCGACTCCGGAAAAAGGCGAGTCCTCTCTCTCTCTCTCTTCTCTCTCTTTCTCTCCACATTTCTCGCCGATCTGTCTGTGTCTTTGTTTTGTCTTTATCTCTGTCGTCACCTCTCTCTTTTTCTCGTCTCCTCTCCTCTCATATCTCATATCTCTCTCTCTGTCTTCTCCTCTCGTTTTATCCATCTCTCTTCCGTCCTGCTTTTTCCTGTAAAATTGGTGTGTGCTGCCGGTTTACTTAAGACTGTCCTTGTCCGCTTTATGAGTCAGTGTACAGCGGAACCTTTGTCAGATCGTATTACCAAACGACTTGGTAGCCTTTCTTTTGATGGGTTTATTTTATGGATCCTGATGTTTTTTTTAGGAATCATAAGTCGTACTTTTTATTCTCCATCTTTTCGATGTTTTGTCATTTTTTTTTTGAATGAATTAGTTGGAAATCGGTTTGGTTGTGTCGTATGGAAACAATTGTCTCCCTTTGGTAATTGGATGGGTTTATTTTATGGATCCTCTTGGATGCTATGTCTCCACAGGACGGCTCGCTTGGTTTTGTCCCAGGAATTGGACGCCGATTGCGTGTGTTTCTTCAAGCTGCTGCTAGGCCAGACACAGCTAGCAGTATGCGAAGTATGGATGGTGAGTGAGGGATGGATGGGGCGATTATCTGTCCTTCCTTGCCTGTGCCCCTTCTTTTCGTTCCTCTTCTCGCTTCTTCTTGGTCCTGTTCTCTCTTCTTCTTTTTCCCATTCTTTTCGCTCTCTCTCCCCGTGTACCTCTCTGTGAGCTTATGCTGTGTGTCACATTTTGACACCTTCCTCAGCTCCTCCCTCACCAACACCCTCCCCTTCCCCCCCCCCCCCGAAATAAAAGCCACGGAGATAGATAGATGGGTAGATAGAAGCGTGCGAGCGAGCGAGCGAGAGAGAGAGAGAGAGAGAGAGAGAGAGAGAGAGAGAGAGAGAGAGAGAGAGAGAGAGAGAGAGAGAGAGAGAGAGA